CCATCTTTATCGTGACGGTTCCTCTGTGTGTTTTAATTAACCGGGTCTGACCTCCCTCTTCGCCCCCATTGACCGGCTTTGGGATGATATGAATGCAGAACATTGTAGGATCATTCTGTATCATTTATTCATTTGTCCAGTTATTATCATCTCACCACTGAATTCATAATTGCCACTGGTTTTATGAACCGTCTCAAGGATTTCAATGAAAACAGAGGTGAATAAACAATCAACCAGCTATCTCAAAATTAAGAAAAAGAGTCTGAATTTGGATCAATTAGAAAATCGGAGCTTTAAACTGGAGGTGTAATTGGAATTTTGCGTTTATATTGAATACAGCTTATTCTAATTTCTGTTTAAGAGCTATAAAAATAATATAAAGATAGCATTACAAATACTATTTTTTAGCTATCTTGTAATATGAGGTCCTAATTTGATTAGGAGCAGAGGTGACACATTGTGTGTGAGAGAGCAGGTTTTTACTAATATTTTAAAGAAAATACAAACTGATTTAGCATCTTAAATTAACAATAGACACTTTGGATGCACCTAGCGTTACTAAAACAATCTCTGTGTATCTTATTTACTTGCTGTAAATGAGATTTCCAGAACCTTATCAGCATGCATGTCAAACCCAGCATGTTTCTTTACACAATGTGAAAACTCAAATGGATAATGGAGATTTGTTTTATTCTGAAGCATCTCATTGATATTAAAAGTAGCTCTTTGCTCAGCAACAACTTCTCCCATTCTGTCAGCCCGATGCCGTAGTGCTTAAATATAAAATTGGATATTTTCTGATTCAGACTTTCCAGTTACTGGTCATCAATCTAAAAAAAAACAAAAAACATTTTGTTCCTCTCACATCTCTTTCCAAAGCAAATCTATCTACTAACTTCTATGAGGATCTTTGAATTTGTCTTGGTGTCAGAGTCAGAACAAGTCAAGGCAGATGTGGAAAAACCAATGAAAACTGATCCAGTTGGGGTTTCTAGTGCAAGCTCTGTTCGGATCGTTCTTACCTGATCTGTGTCCGTTCTGTTTGCTTCATGGTCAACGTAAAAAACTGTGACATGATTGCACAGGAGGTGAAAACCAGAAAAAGATCTTCCATCTCTGGTCCACCTTGGAAGGTAATCATGAAGCTGTAATGACTGCAGGGAGAGGGACCAGGTTTCTTTAAGAATGTGTGGTAGTGATATGATACAAACACAGACAGAAGCAGCTCCACGAAGCACCGGGTTGGTGCACAGTAGGGTTTTTTTGTGTTTAAAGCACTGAATCTGCTAAATTTCGCACATATATCTAAAGCATATTGAGTTGTAAGTTACCCCCCTTTTAGTTTTGTGATTCCAGCTGCCTGCTCTGAAACATCTCGCCAGTTCGACTTGCAGTAAGGGCTTGACTAAAGGATCCATAAAGGAGGAGTTCAGTTTTAATTCATACAGCTGAAAGGAGCAGCAGTGGGGAGAAATTATGAATTATATGTTACTGTATAATTTCTGTCAGGGTTTTTAATCATCCCTGGATATCAAATTAACATGATTACAACACAAAGAGGGATTTTAAACATCTCAACTTAGGGAATCATTTGACTAAAAGACCCTAAAATGAAGAAGTAGTCTTTTGCAATTAAAAACTTGGGAAATACAGATACAGATTAAATATGCTGCAAAACACACATGTTCTGATGCTGTACCACTCAAAGATTTCACTTGATGGATAATTTGCAGGTCTCTGCAGAACAATAGACGTTGAAGTTACCTTTAGAAGAACCTCTAGTGTCGGAGCAATAGAAACATCTAAGGATGCATTCACACCAGCTCTGTTCAGTGCTCTTTAGTCGAACTCTAGCACATTTGTCTAAAAGGTCCAATTTGTTTGGGTAGGTGTGAATGCACAATTGAACATAGGTCTGCCTGCAAAGCTCGGTCTCATTTTGTTTGAAGTGAACTCTGGTGCAATTTGAATGCAGTGTGAATGCCAAGTGGACCAGAGGTCGCTTCAAAAGCAGGAAGTGGACTATAGTGCATGGCATTCTAGGTAAATACAACCAGAGCAAATGTCAGAGTCTAACTCTACAGGGAAAAATGGTCTTTTACCAAAGACAAAAGTAAAATCCTACGACTGCTAAAATCTGATGCAACTACATTTTAGTTTACATTTCATGAAGATGGAAGTTGCACTCTTGTCTTCTTCAGAGGTTTTTGTGTCGTTTCCTTCTGTGGTTCTTGATGCAGCGCCACCACAGGTGAGCAGGTAAACAGGTTTTTTAGAGGTTTTGGTTTGTTTAACACGGTGCAGCGTGAAATCAAACCACGGTAGCTGAAAATGTAACAAATGTTGCAATTTTGGTCCCGAATTGAACCGATTCTACCAGACCTCCCAAAACCTTTCAGTCCAGTTGATCACCTATCAGAACAATTCTGAGACGCTAAGACCACATCGTCTCTGCAGCGTTGCACCCAAGATGCACTTAGGAAAACCTTCACACCTGCAACTCCCTTTTTCCTTCTTTTTAGTTCTTACCCCACATCCAGGTCCAACTGATCTCTGTATCTTCCCTCCTGCAGGGTGGCGGAGGGGACCGCTGGCAGTGGAAAATGGCCGCCATGATCACAGTTCCCAGCTATTCTCCTTCGATATGGGTGAGAATGTGTCACGCCCTGCCCCGGCTGGACCTCAGCATGCAGATGAGGGACAACATCTTCGCCCCCGATAGCTGGGAGTACCAGCAGGTAATGGGCTCTCACCACAACCACCTTGTAAACCCACTGTTTATGTGTATGCAGGTACAGTTTCGTACATGTTCGTGGGATGATGGACTGCTTGTCCAGAAAGACTCTTAATTGCTCCATAAAAACCTGCAGATCCATCACAACAGCATTTAAAGGCATTTAAACCTCTTGTCCTTGTTTATTAATGGACCCAGTTACAGGAGGGAAGATTGCATTGAGCCGTGCAATTACCTCTCAACTCTTGCCCAGCTCTTCTTTGCTGATATATTGCAGTGTTTCTGTGCAAATTGGAGCTATGTAAAGCAATTTGAGGTTGCATGTTTCCACAGTTGCTTTTGTTTGGATGATGGAGGCATTTCTGCAGCAAAAAGTTTCAATCCTTTTGGTTCAGCTTCCATTGGTGACTACTCCATGGTACAAAAAAAGGAGGTGGGCTGGGGAAGGAAGAGCAGAAATTATTCTGCAGAACAGAAAGACAAAAGAAACCAAAAGTGCTTGGAGACAGAGAAATGGAGAAAGAGAGAGAGAGACGGGATGAGAGTGGTGATGAGTAATACGTGGAGGTTGATGAGCGGAAAACTGGGCAGAGAGGGAAAGGCGAACAGAGTTAGAGCGGGGAGCCGGAGAGAGTGGCAGCGAATGTATTTAAGTAGGTCACAGATTATTAATAGAGATTCAGTGGTGTGGATAGAAAGAAAGAAAGAAAGAAAGAGACGGCAGAGTGGGGGGAGAGGAGAACGAGAGCGGGAGAACGTGAGGGAAACGGCTGGGGCGGGGAGGGGAGTCTGAGAACAGGAGGTGAGACAGAGGGAGTAAGGTGGAGGAGTGACAGACGGGCAGATGGATGAAGGATAATGCTGCGGTAATGTGTCGGAGCAAAATGCCTTTCAGTGATGTTGACTTTGTGACATGGAGCCTGGTCAAAAGCAGAGCCTGATATGGCTTAGTGGCGTTGAAATTCATCACAGAGCAGAGAGACATCAAGGCTTTAGAGCTGAAAGCCTCTGAAATAAGGATAGAAGACAATTACCTCAAGTTTGCAGGATTTTTAAAATCTGTTAAAGCATTTACATTATGTGTTTGAAGTATACTCCTGCTGATCGGCTCTAGAGTTCAACGTTCTCAAATTAATCATCTTTATTACAATAGACCAGACTAGAATACACTAGACTAGAATAGAACAGCATAGAATAGCATAGCATAGCATAACGTAGCGTAGCGTAGCATAGAATACAAGAACTACTCCATCCAAGGTGTTGAATATTAATAAATACAAAACTAACCATAAGAAATATAACATTTATGAAACATATACACAAGTGTGTTAGTCAAATATGTCTAAATATAAAATAAATGAAATAATAACAAGAATACACATAGAAATACTGTCTATAAATGACAGACTTAGACACTCAGTTGCGTATTGTTTAATCTGATGGCTACAGACAGAAGTGATTTCCGATTTGTGGTGCGTTTTGGTGCTCAGTCTCTGGCTAGTGTAGCTGGCTAGCAGGTTATAATAATTACTTGAATTAAAATGACTTTTTCCCCCCAACACATCCCAGTTCATCTGCTGTTCTCCCCCTCCCCCTCTTCTCTCGTCTTTTTTTAACCCGCAGACTCTGCTCATTCTGTCCAGTCTATCGGCCATCGCTCTCGTCATCTCCCTCCTGGTGGTCCTGTCCTTCCTCATACATTACTGCTGCTGTCACCGCGGGGACCGGAGCGAGGGTTCGGAGGAGGAGGACGATGATGAAGACGGCAGCACGGGTCATGGTTACAGCGGGAAGAAGGGGAGGGGCATCTGCTGCGTCACGTGGGTGGCGGTGGCGGCTGTTACGCTGTGCTGGTGAGAGGCGGACGCCGGGCTTCATCAGCACTACAGAGATTTACAAAAAACTGTTGCAAGAAAAAGTCACACATTTGGAGTGTTTGTTTTTTTGTTTTGTTTTTTTTTTACAAAATGACACATTTTACATTATGCATTAAGTGAGGGAATACAAATTGCAATACAATATTTCATTCTATATGCAACCCAGCTATATTTTTGGAAAATACAATGAAACAGAAAGATTAAACTTGGAAATCTGTTTTTTTTTTGTTTGTTGTTTTTTTAAAGGAGACCTATATGAAAAAAAATCACTTTTTACATGTTTTTATACTTCCATTTGGGTTTTAGCTGCTTCCAAATAAATTCCAAGACACTTACAAAAAACCACCAAGCTCTTTCTTGACAATAAGTTAATGGGGTTTTTTTTTTAGCTGTTTCAAAAAAACCTCCTGAAAATTAAGTCACATTTGGCAGGCACTGCCCTGTTACCTAGCAACCCAAACGAAGCCCAGTGCTGTTACCTAGCAACCCAAGCAAATGCCCAGCATGTCTGGTCAGCTGGTTTTACCACTGTATGTGCTGCATAGAATAGAATAGAATGTAAAAGAGTTGTTGACTTATTATTCAGAAACCACTTGTTAGTCGTGCAGGAGGCTTTATTTCTGCTTTTCAAAGATCTACTCTATGATTTCCGTTATGTAATAATGATTTCCAATTTTAGGTAAAAAAAAAAATGTAGTGAACAGGTTTAGTATAGCCTGTAAACCTCTCCTAACCTGCTCAAGAAAACATAATAATTATAATGACAGATAATTCCCAATTTAAGAGCAGATGTAATAAGTTTTTCACCCTGAGGCAGTTTGGGTTTTTTTGTCTTAAAATGCTTATATAATTAAAAAATAGTGGTTTTGCTAGCTTTGGTTATCATCATGTGGAATCAGCTGTTGTTTACACTTAAAAAAAAACTAAATCTCACCAAGTGACTTTGAGTTTCAAGTGCAAATATCTTAGTACACTTGAAATAAGACAACACTATCTTATAAGGGACTTTTCAGAAAAATATTGGAGCTTGTTTTCAGTAAAAAGTTCCTTAATATTGACAAAAAGGTGCTTGTGCCAGTGGCAGATTATTTTGTTTATAACATGGGAAAAATGTCTTGTTAAATAATCTTCTTCATCAACAGTGAAGAACGGATTACTTAAAACAAACTTACAACTTAGTTATAAGTTAATTTTGTCTTATTTCAAATGTTCTAAGATACAGTATTTACACTAGAAACTAGACCAAAGATACCTGGTAAGGTTTTGTGTTTCTGCAGTGTAATTATATCACTTGAGCAACAAAAGAAGCAAAAACACATTAGATTTGTCAAGGGGATAATACTGGTACTTTTTTAACAGTACATATCTTTCTTAATGCCAATCCCAAAGCTAACAATGACTAATTGAGGATGTGTTGCAACAGAAGAAAAGAGGAACTGAAGTCATAATAGTCCAGAGCCAATCCTTCAGTGGTTTTAAATTGCTTTTAATGTTACCACAGTGTCTGGCTGTTCTTCAGCATTGGTGCATAACTGCATAAGTAAACATTAACACTATTAGAAGCAGCCACATTGTCTGGAAAGTGAAGTAAGTGTGGAAGTACCTCAAAGTGCATTAGCACTAAGCCTCATTCAAACAGTGTCAACTTATTTCTAAAAATACTGAGTCGGTGAGTCATCGCAGACTCATTGTAAGCTGAATTTCCTCTTGAATTCTCTTTGATCAGCGTGACAGAGCAAAACAGCACGCAAAAAAAAAAGAGGAAATCCAAAAAAAAAGAGAGAAAAAAAATATGAAAAGCATGACATTAAGCCGCATTTAGGTGGCTGAGATTATACTGAGCAGTAAAAAGTGCAAACATCGGACTGTGAATCACAGGTCGCACATCATCACTTCCATCATGTGGCTTTCAGTTTTCCACACAGTCATGTTATTTTCCTATTTCCCAACCGCAGCCTGCCACAGCACTACGTGTGCGGAGCGTACCAGCGCAGAAACCGCTGGTCCTTTACCCACCAGTTGTTCCCCCCACATCTCCGCTGATTGTGCTTTCATCGAGTCTGCACATTGTGGTTATCGTACAGTGCTCAGAAACACTGCTTGACATCTGTCCAACACGCGCCTCTTGTATAATGGAAGAATGAGTCACTCAGGGGAAGCTCGGCCGTACATCCAAAGCTTCAGCCATCTGTGAGGTGCAAGGAAATCAAAGTGCACTTTAATGCTTTTAATGGTCATTACGTTCCACTTCCTGTACTTTTACATGCGTTCAGACTGTATCGCTGTATTGCAGGGGGGTAATGTGCAGCAAATTTGATTTCAGCTGCCATAATGTTGTCCTCGTTTACACACTGCAGGATGATAGAGTAGCTCGTGTCTCCCCCTTATGGACTGCGATGAAATATTAGGGCCTCTTCCTCTGATGCTCAACATGAAAGCTCTCTGTGCATGAATAGCAAATATAATGTTGAATATGCCTAATATGAGCCCTCAGCTGCTGGCCTTTGCTTGGATCTAGCTGGCTTGGTTCACATTTGGCAGCTTGGAATGAAAAACACATATTCCTCCATTTCCCCTGCTTGCTTTCTAATCTGGGTCACATATTTTGTGGGGGATTGGGTCATACCATTTCTCCTGGGTTCGAGGGGATTTGATGAACATCTGGCCCGTGCCTTAATCTGAATATTTGAATAACGGAGAAATGTGTAAACACTATGTTTAAAATTTTTAATATTCCCCCCCCCCCCCCTCCTGGAGTTTATGCGTTAACAGCCAGGCGCCTGATTTCGTGTTTTATTGTTTGCTGTCATCTGTTTATTCCTTTCCCTTTTGCTTCACTCTTGGTACGCTCATCCAAAGCACTTCACATCTTCCCCCGTGTCACATTCATTTAAAATGTACACACTGAATTAAACATTGCATTTATCTGCTCTTCTATCCTGCTTTCTGCCTGTCACCCTCCAACAATGTTCTCATGCTTTTCTTTACCCCCCTCCCTCCCCTTTTTGCAGTGTTGCCATAGGCATCGGTTTCTATGGCAACAGCGAGGCTCACGATGGGATGTATCAGTTGACCTCGTCTCTTCTCACAGCCAATTACACGCTAGCTTCCATCGATCTGCTGGTGAGTGCTGCTTCCCCCCCGCCCCAGGAAAATGTCGTGCGGAGTGTTTATCTGCGCTGCTTGATGCTGTTTGTTTGTTTGTTTGTTTGTTTGTGTGGGGAGGAGAGAGGGGCAGATTCACATGTGGTAAGCCTCACAGAGGAAAAAGAATCAGATGCAAACTTATCGATTTGTCCTGGCAGCGGTTTGTGAGTCAGACTGCTAAATGTCACTCCTCCATGAGGTCAGGATAATGATGCTAAAACGGCTGCGTTCACACCGCAGCCCGAAGTGACCTAATTCCGATTTTTATTTAATTTTTATTTATTTTTGCCTTAATGCGACCTGTAGCTATATGATCTTTTTATGACAGTTTGAAAAATAAGTCGGATTTTTTTCGAATGCGACTTCCCGAACGTCATTGATACTCGACAAACGTCACTATTCTGCGTCCTGATACGCGCATGCGTAAAAAAAAAAAAAAAAGACAACCATTGCGGACAATAATGAGGATTAAGTTGTTACTGTGCTGGCTCCAGTCGGACGATCGCAAGCTTACCTTTACCATCCATGTTTACTTCCGCAAACACTGAGCACGCGCTCCGTTCGTGACGTCACTGCGTCCTCTACTGCGCATGCCGGACACTTTCAGTTCGTTTGCAGTTCACATTGGAGAAATCGGAATTGGGTCACTTCCTGTTGCAGTGTGAACGCAGCCTAAGTGACAGCAGAGGTGAATGTCTGTGAGCTACAGCAACACAGATTGGATTTGGGATTTTCATTGGTACAGATATATTTATGTGTGACATTAAGTTAAAAAGCTGCATCATCCTAAGCAATCTAAATATGGTTTGAATATCAGTAAGGTGACCTTTTCGTCATGTGATTAATTATTGAATGTGCAATCTTTGCAGTGAATCTTTCCTCCATTTGTGATTTCTGCCCTGAGCAATTTGCTCATACTGTATGAAGTGTTATTTAGTACAAATTAACTAACTTAAGGTCCTTTCATAAAACATATCAATGTTTGATTGATTCCAGGACATGCACTACAGGAGCAGGAATGAAAAATACCACTGAACACTAAGTTCTGAAAATAAATTTGTCTGGAATTGCAGCAGCATAATCTCACTTTTTTGAAATTCCTAATCTGTAATTTGTTTAATGAACACTTCCTCACCTGTTGGCAGCCCTTAAAAATCTATGAAAAAATGGAACTGAAACACTTATTGATCATTTAAAATTGGTCAGAACTTTTTTTTTTTTACCAGAAATCTATCATTTTCTATTTTCTGTAAAATCATATGTTGATAACGAGGCCCACTTCTTCCAGCCAGTCCTCAAAATGGGAAAGACAAGTAGATCGTGCAATTCTTGTGAGACAAATGTGTTTTAGTTTTGCAAGAAAACAGTTTCCCAGCTTAATATACCTATACTTACAGCCAAAATAGTTTAAAACAACCAAAAATGTGACAAACCAGACTGAATGAGGACCCAGATTCATGTTGTCATCACAGACAGGGAGCAGGATTGTGATAAAGGTTCAGAAAGTCTTCAATACTCAATGTTTTTAGCATGAGAGTGGTCTCCTGCAATAATAGATTATTATTATTTTAAGGCTAATTACACATTTTCAAAAGCGGCGTCTGTAATCTAGTGAGTGCTGCAGATATAAACGTTGAGTGTTTACCATTTGAATCATAACTAAGCTAATTTACAGGAAACTAGATACAAAAATTAGATTTAAAAAGCAAAGGCTTCCATTTGTGCCTGCAGAATAGCAGATTAATCTTTGTGGTGGAGGATTCAGACAGATGACAGATTAAGTGAGAGAAAAACCTTGACACAAAGTCTGTTGATGTGCTGACTGTTAGAAAAAAGTGTAAATACAAATCAATAGAGATCTGCGTGTAGAGATCACATTCCTGTCTCGCTTGGAGACGTTTATTTCACCATGATCAACACCCGGCTCATCGGTTTGATTAAGTTTGACTCACTGAAAAGTTTTTGGGGACTTTAGGGACTTAATTGATGAAATCTCCTGGTTACAGAAATGTGCAGAGTCCTTTTTCGGTGCTCTGACTCAGACGCCCCCTTCTAAAAGGAAGCTGCTCTCTAATCTACAATGTTTTAGGTTATAAGTGCATTAGCACCGTCTCCTTCTCTACTACTTTTATGTGCAATTATAAGCATCACTATGGCTGTTTTGTGGTTTTTAGCCCACTCATCTCGTCCTCACGCTCTTCCTCTCCTCCCCTCGTAGATTTCAGACACCATTACTGGACTGCAGCTCTCCGTCTCTGGCCCTCTCAGGTCCATGGAGGAGATGTTTTCCGGCAGCAAGCCGTTCCTGGTGTCGACGCGGAACTGCCGGAGGCTGTCCGAGAACGTGATAAACCTCCTCTCCTCCATCTCCCTGGCTCGGTCCAGCGTAGAGGCGGGGCCGGGAAACGACAGCAGCGTCAGCGGGGCGTCCATCACGCCCCTGACGCCCGTCCCGCCCTCTGTGGTTCCCACGGTGGTGCCCACCAGCAGCTTGTTGCCCAGCCCCTTCACGCCTGGCTGGGCCGCCAACACACTGATAGTCAATGAGGACTACAGGTAAGGTTATTTATCATAGTTTAAAGACATTTCTGTGGATAAATATTTATTCAGTGGAAAATTATTCAGTTCTTTTGTCTTAAACAGTACACAGATAAATACGATTTATGATTTATTTTTTTCCCATTACTAAAAATAGAAAATATAAATAGTGCAAACTTGATGTATTTTCTACTGTCTTACTTTGGCATCTTGATCACTTTTTGTTTAATTTGATTTATTTAAATTTCAAACAATAAAAATAAAATGATTGCTTATTTTTA